TTAAAATAAATTTTTGTTATTTTAGTTTCTTAGTGGATTAAGTTTTACATTTAACCAACTAAGTTAAGCATTCTAAATAAAAGGATCATCAACACAGAACATTTTTAATCAACTAAATGATTCTCTCTATCGACTAAATCTCTATTGTCTTATAAAAGGAAAAGTCAAGGGATTTACCTAAAGCTCATTTACATTAAGTATTCCTAGATTTCTCTTAATTTCACAAAATTGTTCTTCATTTAAAGGTTTAGTGAAGATATTCGACAATTGATGCAAAGTGTTGACAAACTCAATTGTAATGTCTCTTTCAAGCACATGATCTTGAATAAAATGATGTCGAATTTCAATGTGTTTAGTTCTAAAGTGCTAAGTTAGATTTTTTTAGATGTTTATAGCATTTGTGTTATCACAAAATATGGGTAAATTATGCTTAGTTACTCCAAAATCTTTTAACTATTGTTTAATCCATATAATTTGAGCACAACAACTTTCTAAAAATATGTATTCAGTTTCAATTGTTGACAATGCAATAGAGTTTTGCTTTTTACTTGACCAAGATACAAGCATATTTTCAACAAACTGACAGGTGCCATTAGTGTTTTTCCTATCATTTTACTTCCACTAAAATCAGCATCAGAGTATCAATAAGATAAAAAGATGATTCTTGGATACCATAAATCTAAACTTTGTGTGTCCAAAAGATACCTAAAGATTCTTTTTACAGCTGTTAAATGTGACTCTTTAGGATATGGTTGAAACGTGCACACAAGCATACACTAAATTGTATGCCAGGTCTACTAGCAATTAAGTAGAGCAAAGAGCCAATCATACCTCTATAAAGCTTTTGATCAACACTCTTTCCATTTTTTATCTTTATCAAGCTTGGTTGAAGGACTCATTAGACTGTTAATTGACTTTAGCTTCATCATATCAAATTTTTTTAGTATGTCTTGAATGTATCTTTCTTGATTGATAAAGATACCATCCTCACATTATTTGATATGAAGGCCAAGAAAGAATTTTAGTTTAGCCATCATGCTCATTTCAAACTCATCCTGCATTTTTTCAACAAAATTCTTACACAAATCTTCATTAGTAGCACCAACTACAATTTCATTCACATAAATATGAACTATAATTAAATCATTCAAGTATTTCTTAATAAATAGTGTTGTATCAATACTTCCTTTAATATAAACCTTTTCAACTAAGAATTTTGAGAGTTTTTCATACCAAGCTCTTGGAGCTTGTTTTAATTCATAGAAGGCCTTATGCAGTTTGAAAACATAATCAATCTTTTTTAAATCCTCAAACCCAAGTAGTTGTTTGACATAGACTTCTTCTTGAATAAGACCATTTAAAAATGCACTTTTCACATCCATTTGAAATAATTTGAAATTCATGAAACATGCAAATGTAAGCAACAATCTTATGGCTTCTATCCTATCAACAGGAGTAATTGTTTCATCATAGTAGATACTTTCTTCTTGATTATATCCTTAAGCAACTAGCCTAGCTTTGTTTCTTATCACATTACCTGGTTCATCTACCTTGTTTCTAAACACCCACTTT